GGGGTCATCATTAAATTTCTGCTCTTTTAAGGGGGGGGCTTTCAATTTTAAAAATTTAGGAAAGAAAAAATTCCCCTCCCCCCCTTCCATAAATAATGACCGGTCCCTTAGTGCAAGAAGCGTGAACAAGGAATATAAAAACCGTCAAAAATTTCACCAGCTCAAAGTCGATAATACAAAAGTCTGGAACAAGTTGTTATCATCTTGTAACAAGCTAAGGTTGATGAGGCCAATAGCCTTGCAACAAGTTGTTCCAACAAGTCTAATATCGTGTGCACGTAACATATTGTTAACAGGTTGATGATAACAAACTCGTAACAACCTATATATTGGTCTTGTTGGAACAACTTGTAGCAAGTCTGTTACCGTCATCGACCTTAATTGTAACAAGGGGAAAACAACTTGTTCTAGAATTGTCACAACAACTGGGAACAAGCAGTGCGAACACATCCTGATATCGGCTTGACAACAACCTTGTTGCAACTAATTGTTTTCAGATCTGTAACAACTTGCGTGATTGTACGTGTGTACTATCAAGTCTTTCACAAAGGCATTTCGCTCGGATAATTCTCAAGCACTCAACGGCTCTATAATTCAATAGCGTCACATATGCTCATAAAAGTCAAGGGTTGAAGATTTACCTCAACTAAAGTTTCCTGTTTAACGCTGAATCCTGTCAAAATTCCAACGTCAATTATTGACATTCCTGCACTGGCTCCAGCCTTCTTGAATCTGGACAAAATATAGAGTTAGATTAAAGACATGATATTTGTAGGTTATATTGCGGTTACAACTCACAATGACAAGAATGTCATTAGCTCATTAAACATTTGTATAATGCACATTTCACTCCTAATGGCACTAGGTTATCAGTGTCTTCGCGGATACTGTCATGTGTTTACCCTCTTTAAATAAAGTCAAATCAATCAATCAATCAATCAACAGTTTTAACCCATTGATTGCCAGCACTCTCCCATTGATAAGTAAAATTGTCTGGTGTTAGACAAAGTAAAATAATAAAGTAGGGCGCGTTGGAGTGTTATGCAACTTAATGGGCTAACTAGACACATGGACAGATAGTTTGATTATATAACCCAGTAGCAGCACTCGCCCCTTGACGAGTAAATGGTCTGGTGTTAGAAAGAATAAAATATAAAGTAGGGACATTGGGGCACAATGAAACTCAACAGGTAAATATATTTACAAGCCTTAATGTGCCCTATTTGTTATGGTACATCACCCTTACAATGACAAGAACAGGCTTAGTTTGTACATCTTAAATAACCGCATCTTAAGCCTGATCTCCACGTGGTCACAATGGCCGCGATCTTTCTCAACGGCCAGTTTATAATAGAGGGTGTTGATGGGGTATATCGTGAGTCGTGATTCACTCAATTTCGGTTACCGTCAGTTGTGAAAACTCTAAAAATTTACCGTGAAGCGTGAGGGGAAAATATCGTTTAACGTTTCAGAACACTTTTCAAAGATTTACCATTAAAGTACCAAAATTTTACCGTTAAAATACCAAAATATTTTTACCGTTTACTGATTTTCAACCCCCCCCCCCCCCCCTCCCCCATTTAGACCCTCATAATAGTTTATACCTGTAAATCACACACACACATATATATATATATATATATATATATATATATATATATATATATATATATATATATATATATATATATATATATATATATATATATATATATATATATATATATATATATATATGAATATATATATATATATATATATATATATATATATATATATATATATATATATATATATATATATATATATATATATATATATATATATAGGCCTATACTGAAGATTCCACCGTGGATAAATAAATATTCTCTAGTTTTAATCACTCCGCATATTTTCAGTTCTAGTATTTCGGCTGGTGAGAAAGATCGTGACTGATCCTAGGTCAGTGGTTACGGTTATACGGGAAGGATTAGCACTCAAAAAGAGCGAGACATGAATCTATAACCCTCAGATTTGACTTTCATCACCTCTCTCAATGGTGGAGTAGACGTCAGCTGATTGGTTGATCGGAAAGATTAAACATAAGATTAAACATATCTGATTGGTCAGCGGGAGTAGAATTTAAATCCGGATCCTAATACCTCAGGCAGGTTATGTTTTCACCGCGGTCAGTTTGTTTGTTTGTTTGTTTGTTTGTTTGTTTGTTTGTTTGTTTGTTTGTTTGTTTGTTTGTTTGTTTGTGCGTGCGTGCGTGCGTGCGTGCGTGTGTGTGTGTGTTTGTAATCTGTCAGCAGGATCGCAACCAAAGTCGCTGGTTCGATTCCTAGAAATTTTGTTAGATTGCCAACTTACCTAGCACATATCTTGATGGATACCGAGTTAGGCGCGGGTGCATCGTTAGGGAGGGCTCGTGTAGAAACTGGACGTGCGGGTGTTGTAGGTTTGGGTTTATTTCGGCGTCTGTTACATCTCCTGCCCTTGCATCGCTTGCACCTCCTGCCATTCTTTCGTCGACATTTCTTATTCCTTCTACCCTTTGCCTTTGGTTTTCTTTTCTTTGGCGCTTTCGTCGGTTTTGGCACAACAAGTATGGGTTGGTCATGAAACCTTCTAACTCGTTCAATGGTGCTGACGCTCAGATCGAACTGGCAGACCTCCTGTTTAGTTGGAGGGGTGTTGTATTGCGTTTCAACCTGATCAGAAATTTATCATGAATTATCAATAGAAAAGGTCAAGGTAGCTAGGGGGCTAGTAGGGAACTTTGGAGTCGTAACGACTACGTTGGCTACGAAATCTGGTACGACTACGAGATTTTCCCCGTTAAATATCTGCTACTATAGACTTTTTATCGTCCTTTCTTTTGCATACCACATCTTTATAGCAACAGTTGCGCCAAACCACGTACTATTGTAAGTTTTTAGTAGCTGATATTTAATGGAAAAAATCTCGTAGTCGTACTAGATTTCGTAGCCGTAGCGAATCTAAAGTTCCCTAGTAGCAAAGTGGATGTAGGTTCGCAGGGTTCGCTGCTGTAGCGAAAAAGTTGGTTACCTTTCAAGCAACAATCGCTATTCGCTACAAATTTTCAAATTTTTCATAACTCGACTGGACGTAAAATAGAATATGATATCACGCCAAATCTTACTGCGAGTAGATAATCTCTAGCGCTGTTTAGTTAAGCTTTACTAATACATTTATACGGTTTTAGCCTGTTTAGAGTATAAGTATTGGCATTCAAAGCACGAATATAATTATGCCTCTCTGTGTGTATAAGCCATAAAAATAATAGATATCTATTATTTCTATGGTATAAGCCCATGGCTTACTATTGGACAGGTATCTATATAGCGACTGGGATTCCAACAGCCCCGACGAATGACGATAATTATACATTACAGTATTATAATATGTTAACCAAATTGTTTTTACTATGTGATATATCTTGTATGTTTGTTTTCCTTTGCATTCAGAGGTACAATAAATATTATTACTAACATCAAAAGAACAAATATAAGTCCATGGCTTATATTCGGAGGTTTACAGTATCAATAACTTTGGGTCGGCACGAAGCTCTAGGAAGATGTTCTGTGATTGGTTGATTATGACAATGACAAAAGAATAAGCAATAGAATGGATTTTCTAAAGAACGAAGCAAGAACAATATTCCTTTTGTTTATGTAAGCCAATTACGTCTTTTGTCATTGTCATAATCAACCAGTCACAGAACATCTTCCCAGAGCTTCATGTTTACTGATAACTTTTGCAAGTTTTGAACGTATTGCAAATTAATCTAGAAATCTGGCTCCTTGGTTTTGATGACGTGTTGCATGTATGAGTCAACCTCTGACGGTAACACAAACACATCTATACACAATATATATTACCTGTAACTGTGCCACTCCAGAACCTTTTGTTTGGATAAATAATTCGTCCCCGATCAGATTGGTAATCTGTAAAACAAATATGGTATAAGATTGATATTCCTCCTGCAGAAAGAATGTGAGTTGCATATGTTAAACCATCATTGTAAGACAGTTCCCTCAAATATTTCTTACAAATCCTTCAAAGGTTAGAATTTACTCATGCAAAATTCCTACTGTGATCACAGAAACTTTGATAGGGTAAACCATCCTATATACAACCAGGTGATCTGACGGTGAGCAAAAAGACTGGGACTAGCAACAGAATAGAAATCCAGTTTCGTACTCTTAATCACTTGTCACGCCCTGATTCGTTGTGAAACTGTTTGAAACTTTGTGTCTGTGTATTGCACAGAGAAATGAATATCTGGGACAAATTTGAGATAGAAATCTAATACCGTTAATGAGATATTGAGTAATTTTAAACCAGAAATGGATTTCTATTTTACAACTAGTGCCAGGCCTTTTCCGAGTTCCGAGATCGCCTGGAAGGGGTCGCAATGTAAGGAAAATCGTCATCGTCTCAAAATCTCGAGCTTGCGAAGCGACCGTTACAAATACATTACATAACTTACGTCCAATTGCTGTTGTACCAAAGCATTTTTCTGGTTGATCATCAACGTCTTCTTGTACTCTCTGTCTGTGGTGATCTCTATACGAAGGTTGAGTTGATCGCCTCCTGTGGCCTCGCTATAAGCAGCTAAAGCTTGTAGTGCAACACATGTATCCTGGCAAGATGGAGAACATGGGTTGTCAGTGAGTTTTGTGAATCATATTTTATAATTCATGAGAAAAATACCAAAGAAATCTAGTTGACCCAGGGGCGAATCTAACCACATCTGCAAGGAGGGGTGTAGATTTTCAATGGGGTGGTGCATGAGGGAGCCTTACTGCCCACTCTCCTCTGCAGTCTGCAACGCCACTATCCCAACATTACCATTATTTGAGATGGCCGAATCTGCATGTTCGCTGTTCTGTTACGTTTTACATTATCTTTTGTTTATAAAGTTTATATCGGCTTTTTATCACGTATGCATGCATGACTGGACAGTTGTTGTAACACGGTACGGTACATTTGCTTGTTAAAGTACAGTATATTTGAAAATACGGCTGTATAAGTTGAGTCAGTATAACAACCTCGACATGTTTACATATTTAACCATGATATTTAGCTAAAGCGTTCTAAAGTTTTCTCGTGAGCTCACAAGAAATCAATACGCGCTAACAGTAGAAGTTCTGCTAATCGCTATTCAAAAAGCAGAAAACGTATGGAATTATAGAATTAAATTTCGTATATATTTCAGCTACCTGGGTAGAAATAAAGCCTCCGCCTCCTTTCCTTTGTTCTGTTAGCCAAACTACGATAGGCCCTGCGTAACCACGCCTTTGCAGAGCCATTTGCGTGAGCAGTGCATACGATGTCGTTTCCACGTCAATAGCATTGCCGCCTTGACCGTCATGCCAGTAGCGTGTGTTCTTACCTAAAAACACGAATGTTTGAGTTTTTCAATGTAAATAAAGTTGGTTTAGCTTAGGTTTCCTCCTATAGTAACACTGGATCAATAAGAGATGACTCTTACTGGACCTCTAGGGAGAACAGTTAGGAACTGACAGAGCTATCCAATATAAAAAAAGTTAATTTAGTTTTAAGTTTCCTCCTGTAGTATAACACTGGATCAATAAGTGATGACTCTTACTGGACCTCTAGGGAGAACAGTTTAGAACTGATAGAGCTATCCAGCATAAAAAACATAGTTTAGTTTAGGTTTCCTCCTATATAGTAACACTGGATCAATAACTTATGACTTTTACTGGACTTTATAGGGATAACAGTTTAGAACTGATAAAGCTATCCAGCCTATCCAATATAAATAAAGTTAGTTTAGGTTTCTTCCTGTAGTAACATCGGATCAATAAGAGATAGCTCTTCCAGATATTACTCGTGATCATTTAGAAACGCGTTTATTCCTTGCAATTTTTCCCAACAGATTTAATCGCTTAGCGCAAGGTATATATACGTACCAGCATCATAGCGCGCGGAGTTTAACAGATCTTGGTTTGCATTGAGCTTCAAAGGACTGTTGGCCAATGCCAAGGCGTACGCGATCACTGCTTTCACATAAACACGTCCGACATTCGGCTGCATGTTCTCCAAGTATGCCACAGCGTTTTTCACGGTTTGAACGGAGTTCTAAATTAGAATAGAAATGGTACGCTCAATTTGGTATCGAAAATTTGGTATGAATGTTCAGATGAGGGGACATATATATACTCAGAACTTTCACAACTCATCTGCTCGTTCACGTGCATCAGAAAAAAGAAAATCCCACTAGAAATCACAGCAACGGGCCTTTAGTCTCATGTGTGAGAAAAGCGATTCCAGCATGACTCTACCAAACACCGTAGGTTTTCCCTGTAGTGTAATTTTCTTCTGTGAAAAAATTATGTGAAAGTGCGGGACCTATTAGGGATGGATTTTATTTCATCTGCACGAAGAACAGTTTGGCAGTGATGGAGCTATCCGGTCGAAATTGTTATAAAAAAATTTCCAAGGAAAATACTTAATCTTTCGCTCACCGCCGTGAAACTCTTGCACTCTAGGAAAGTTGTAACAACATATGCAGTCATTGTTATGTCGCTATTGATGTCACCCTAAGAAAACAAATATTTTGAAGTTTGAAGAAATAATATACAAGATAATGTATATGAAATCAAAACCACCAAACCAAATAATACCATACCGTACCGTACCGTACCATACGATACCATACCATGTGCCATACCATACCATACCATACCATACCATACCATACCATACAATGCTACAACATACCATACCATAACATACCATATACCATATACCATACCACACACCATTACCATAACATACCACATCATATCATACAATACTACACCATACCATACCATATACCATACCATACCATGCCATACCATACCATACTATACAATGCTACAACATACCATACCATAACATACCATATACCATATACCAAACCACACACCATCACCATAACATACCACATCATATCATACAATACTACACCATACCATACCATATACCATACCATACCATGCCATACCATACCATACCATACCATATACCTTACCATACCTTACCATACCATATACCATACCATACCATACCATGCCATACCATACCATACCATACCATACCATACCATACCATACCATACCATATACCATACCTTACCATACCAAATACCATACCACACACCGTAACATATCACACCGTACCATACCATACCATACCATACCATACCATACCATACAATGCTACACTATACCATATCATATCATACCATGCCATACCATACCATACCATACCATACCATCCATACCACACCATACCACACCACACCATACCATACCATGCCACATTAGATACTGCACAAGACCCAGAAACCAAACTTACATCCATTTCTTGATGTACAACAGGATTACTCTCTGGTATGGCACCATCAGCGCGCTGGCGTGACGCCAACCAATTTATTGCAGTGTTGATAACATTCTGATCAATGTCAATTCCATCAAGTTTCTGAATCGCACAGAATGTCTTGATTACAAACGCAGTCAACCTAAGAAAATAAGAAAAAGTTAATACTTTTAGGAATAAAAGATGAAACTAATTTAGATAACATGCGGTTTGACCCTCAGGTAAATTTACGGATGCCAAAAAAAAAAGGCACTACTAGGGGGGTCTGGGATGCCCAGGAAAATGTGAAAATCAAGTGCCCCAGATTGGTTAAAAACGCATTGGTCATACAACATTTGTCTATAGTCTAGACATTTTTAATAGTAATGTTAAGAATTCAAGCGCTTTCACGGTCGAAAGCCATGATCTATTAGAGGACAGACGCACGGAATGACGTCACAATTAAGGTAGCCAATAGCATTCCCTTATTTGTATAGATCATGTACGAAGATAGATAGATTAGACAATTCCCGTTACAGACTAATTTTAAAACTAGGCAAGGAGATGCAAATAAATCACCACAGCTAGAAAGAGCATACTAAAATGAGTAAAATTGCAAAGTTTGGTTGCGAAATGTTGTGAAATGCGGAAAATATAGCCTTGCAAAGTTCGCAAATTTTGTATACTTTTGTATTGGGTGCGGAAATTGCTACCATTTTCGGCCCAAATGTGGTATATAGGAATGTACAAAATTTGCAAACTTTACAAGGCTACATTTTCCGTATTTTACAATATTTCGCAACCAAACTTTGCAGTTTTACTCATTTTAGTATGTTCTTTCTAGCTGTCGTGATTTATTTGCATCTCTTTGCCTAGTTTTAAAATTAGTCTATAATGGGAATTGTCTAATTTGGCATTTCTGATCTTTCTATTGGAAGTATACTTACCAAGTGCTGCCAGGCCTGCTGTTTCCGAACGCACTGAATGAGTGATCACTTCTACGATAGTTCAACTCACGTTGGTAACCTGAAATACAACACAAGTAGAAAAGAATCATATTCCTGACACGAGATACTAACAAGGTCTTCATTCAAAACATTGAAACTTTAGACCTTGTTCAAACACTGAACGTTTTGTTTGCGAAACTCAATGCAAAGAAGTGGGAATAGCGAGTTTAGGTCGTTTACATTAGGTTCGACACACGAAAAGCGTATTGAAGTAAAATATTCAAGTTTTTACTATACATTGTGTCTTCATCCCAACTGTTCACGGGCAGCTGCAATCGACTTACCAGATCGTATAAAGTTGAACGCAGTTTGTTCAATCTGTTGTGTGACTTGCTTTGTACTTCTCAGATAATTCAATACAAACACATTGGGCGCTAGTTTTAACATGGTTTGTTCACCACAACCCGTAGGCAACTTGATGATGGAGTCTAAGCCTCGACCTTCGATAATGCTTGATACCGCTGGACCAATTAGGTTGCCTAAAATTAATATTATATATATATATAGATAGCTGGGTACGAGGTTGAATATCCTGGAGCTCTATGAAAAGGAATTTAGAACTGATAGAACTGTCCAGTATAAAATAAAATAAAGTTAGTTTAGTAAATTTAGATTTCCTCCTGTAGTAATACTGGATCAATAAGAGATGATCCTTACTGGACCTCTAGGAAGAACAGTTTAGAACTGATAGAGCTATCCAGTATTTATAAAGTTAGTCTAGTTTAGGTTTCCTCATGTAGTAACACTGGATCAATAAGAGATGATCTTTGTTGGACCTGTAGAAAGAATAGTTTAGAACTGATGGAGCTATCCAGTATATAATAAAGTTAGTTTAGCTTGGTTTAATTAAGTTTCCTCCTGTAGTAACATTGGACCAATAAGAGATGCACCTTATTGGACCTCCAAGGAGAACAGTTTAGAACAGATAGAGCTATTCAGTATCCACAAACTTAGTTTAATTTGGTACTTTGGTTTCTACTCACCGATCACTTTTAGAACTGCATATTCTGATTCGGGAACAGTTGAACCAGGCAATCTGAGACTAAGTCGGTTTTTCTGTATTCCATTTCCCTCTTTAAAAAACGAAATACATATTGAAGTATAAACCGGCAGTATTTTTTACGCGTTAATACTTTGACTGTTCTGTGTGCTGATGGCAGGGTGCAAATTATTTCATATATGTCTATAACGATCATTTTCCTTGAAGAAAAACACTTCCCGATTGACTATGGGAGAGCCTTAGGGAATCGTTATATAACTTAAGCATACTTCCTTATCGGTCAATGGAGACATGTACTGTAACCCGGACTTAAATACAATCGAGTATGCTTTGTTGTTGCATTCATAATGACGTAATTTGCGGTCAAATTTTCCATTGTTTTTACGCATTCTTGGGGAACGGTAAACACCTTCTCCTGGTCTGGGAATGGCCTTTATACTAGAACTCTAGGGAAAACAGCTTGGAACTACTAACGATACCAGCCACTATTTATAATGTTAGAGTTATTCTGCCGTCACAAATTATTGGGCAGTTTCTATACGCACGTTTACTGGAAACCCGTCATCGGAAAACTTACTTGTTGATGTTTGTATTTTCGACGGAGTTGTTGACGCAGCGCTAGGCTTGGCATCGGCAGGATCCCGCAAGACATCTAGCAAAATTATACAAAAACAAGGAAATAAATAAAAACATTTTGCTTTAGGTTTCCTTCTGTAAGAGAAGGCCCGTACTGGGCCAGTATACGAAAAACCTGTCACAGAAGATAGAAATCAAAGTTTCCTCCTGTAGTATTAACGGACCAGCAAGGAATGCCCTTACTGGACCTCTAGGGGGACAAGTTAGATATGTCTGAATGTCTGATATAGCCATACAGTATAAATAAAGTTAGTTTAATTAAGTTTAAAAAGACCAAGATGTTGTCAAATGTACGATAAGAAAATATAATCGTCTTACCTAATGGATCTAAAACAACGGAATGCGTCTGTTGTCTTTCCATTCCTTCCGGCTAAAAGCAAACAAGTATGTTATTTTAACTTTTTTAGATGAACTTACAGTCCTACTTTGTATTTTTCCATGGCGATAATATAATATTTATTTTTATTCGCACAAAACACGTATATGTATATTTATCACTGCAAAGTTTGAAATTTTAATATACAAATTAATGGATCTGTTGGTGATAAGATATGGAAAAATTTATCGTTTGTTTAGGAAACAGGCTCGCCCCCTGACCCCTCTAGAAGGTTTGCGGCACCAGCCTCTCCCCCCCCCCGAATCGTAAAATCGCTATGCGATCACTGCTTGTATTTAGAGGCAACTATACAAAATTGAGAGATTGCTTGCCCTTGCCCCTGTCAGCATTTCTATCGACTACCTTGGCAACAATAAAGATTTATTACACGTACCAAAACTTTCAATCTTCGTTGTTCACCATCGCCATCACCATTACTGGAAATAATCCTCACCTTAAAAAAAAATAAAATTATTTTCTTTTCTTTTAAATTTAACAACAACATTACATTATGTAATATATCAGTCCGACTGTGAGGACGTTACCAAATATACATTACTTCCGTCCGGAGCGAAGCCGAGAAAAAAAAGACAGACCGTCCTAAAGTGATCTTACCTGGATAGGTATATCTCCAACTTCAGTGGGAACGACAGGAAATGAGACGGAAGCCGCCCCGTTGGCATCAACCCTAACTTTGTAAAGAGAACTTCCCGCACCAAAATTCGAATAAGTACAGTAATCGTCGCCGTCTCTTTTGAAGAGATAAACGGAAACCTAGGAAGAGAACGGATATTTTTTATTCATTTGTTGGTGCGGCAATAAGATCGCTCATCAAGCCGTTAAATTCTACTCTACTCCCATTCATTTTTAATTCGATTCTATTCCAACTCTATTCCAACTCTATTCCAATTCTATTCCAATTCCATTCCATTCCAATTCTATTCCAATTCTATTCCAATTCTATTCCAATTCTATTCCAATTCTATTCCAATTCTATTCCAATTCTATTCCAACTCTATTCCATTCTATTCCATTCTATTCCAATTCAATTCCAATTCAATTCCAATTCAATTCCAATTCCATTCCAATTCCATTCCAATTCTATTCCAATTCTATTCCAATTCTATTCCAATTCTATTCCAACTCTATTCCAATTCTATTCCAATTCCATTCCAATTCTATTCCAATTCTATTCCAATTATATTCCAATTCGATTCCAACTCTATTCCAACTCTATTCCAATTCCATTCCATATCCATTCCATTCTATTCTATTGTATTTTATTAGTTTTCATGTATTCAAAAACACCCCAACTATTATATCGAACGAGATGCTCAAAAATCATCATAATACACCCTTCCGATAAATACGTCACACATACTTTTTGGTCTTACGAGTCTCGCTCTCATTAGTAAATTACGCAAAGTGATTGGCTCACAATTCATGAGAGCGAGGCTCCCAGGCCAAATGACGTAGTTATCGCAAGCGTGTATTTATTCCATACCATTTCGGCTGTATTTTTGTAGTTGAAAACAGTAGCTATGACAGAGACTTGTTCGCCACGCTGTGCGGAATACGGCAGTTTGATGGAGACGAAGAAAGGCTTAAACGCTCTCAAGTTGAACGGCGGAGTTAGACCAAACCCGGTGGTATTTGACACGGCAATAGCCTGCATTACCCAAGTGGTTATCGTGTCTGGTACTGTGACACGAAACGAAACACGACCATCTTTGCTAGATATAAGATAGATAAAATAATATATGCACAGTTAGTTAACCATAGGAATTCCTTCGACGAGTAAAATTGCCTGGAGTTAAGAGAGTATGCAGGGTCGTACGCAGGATTATTTCACCAGAGGGGCAATAATACCTATATGCTGAAATAAGTACCCAAATGTGAATGTGTTCAAAGCCATATTAGTTAGATGCATGCTTATGACCGTTGTTACTGTTGCTGCTGTTGTTGTTGTTGTTGTTGTTGTTGTTGTTGTTGTTGTTGTTGTTGTTGTTGTTGTTGTTGTTGCTGCTGCTGCTGTTGCTGTTGCTGTTGTTGTTGTTGTTGTTGTTGTTGTTGTTGTTGTTGTTGTTGCTGTTGTTGTTGTTGTTGTTGCTGCTGCTGTTGTTGTTGTTGCTGTTGCCGTGTTGTTGTTGTTGCTGCTGTTGTTGCTGTTGTAGAAAACCTCACCCAGCTTTCCCGTCTTCGTACAACCATTTCTCAGGGAAGTTGGTTCTCAATTGCGCTTCCTCTAAAAGTAACTTTAGGAGTTCTGGATCCTGGTCGAGGCCGAGCCCATTCAACAGGTTATTTGGAACGTCAACATCGCCAGACCTTTGTCGGACATCTAGATAATATACAATCGATGAGTGTTAGTCATTGCTGGACGTTTACCGACCAAATCTCAACAGTTGACAAGTTCATTCATGATCTACAACATACTAGACCTTACATGGGCGTACCGGAAGGAAAAATTTAGGGGGGCGGCAAAAAATTTGCCCGACTTTTCCGGATTTTGCCCCCCCCTCGCCAAAAAAATTTCGGTCAGTGTACCATTTTAGGGGTCAAAAAATTTTTCCGGACATAACAAAATTGTCCGGAACCTACAAAATTTTGGGAAACTTCACAAAATTTTCCAAAAAATTTACAGAATTTGTCCCATTTATTTTTTAATTAACCAAAATTGCCCGACTGTTCAGCGAATATTGCCCGACTGCCCAAAAAACTGGGGGGGGGCTACCGCTCCCCCCCCCGCCCGGTACGCCCATGAGACCTTAAACCTACAACATACTAGACCACGGGTTGTGGCTATATAAAGTACTCTGTTTTTGGCATACCTTATATAGTCAAGATTTGTGGCTATAAAGTACGCCGAATCTCGGTATACCTTGTAGCCAGGTTATGTACAAATTGGCTACATGCAGTATGCTGTAGTTTTATGGGCGGTACGGGCCTGAGCTGTATCCTATTAAAGTCAGATTTGTAAGTTTAACTATTGCATAAAAACTAAGAACTAGCTACAACAAAAATACCACGAAGGAGATTTGTTCATTGGAAATATTGCCGCCCATTCTAACCTACTTTTATACTATCCATGCCTTCTTGACAGATATCCCTTTGACAAGAAGTTAAAGTATACTGCTACTAAGCTTAATTGGCCAAGAAAAAACTGTACACAAAAGATGACAATAATTCTAATACTGTTATCAATTCCTTCCTTAAAGCCCTCCCTTGCATTTTATGCCTAGCGTGTCCTTAGTCCTTACCCATTTCAAATCTCTTGTAACAACATTTATAGAACTGTATCACGCAGTCATCACGTGGGTGAAATGACGATGATTGATTTGAGATTGAAAAGTTCATCGCACGAGCTTGGCATGTTCCTGCATCTACTTTCTCACCAAGTTGACAACATTGCGGATCGACAACGACGACTGAACATATGGAAAGAAAAGAGTATATATGGCATTAAAAGCTGTGTAGGGTCGTTTCTTGACAAGTTTCCTTAGTTGACAAGTTTACTTTCTCGTGTGTACGGTCAACAAGTTTTCCTTGACAAGTTTACTTTTTCGTGTGTACGGTCAACAAGTTTTCCTTGACAAGTTTACTTTCTCGTGTGTACAGTCAACAAGTTTCCCTTGACAAGTTTACTTTCTCGTGTGTACGGTCAACAAGTTTCCTTGACAAGTTTACTTTCTCGTGTGTACAGTCAACGAGTTTTCCTTGACAAGTTTACTTTCTCGTGTGTACAGTCAACAAGTTTTCCTTGACAAGTTTACTTTATCGTGTGTACAGTCAACAAGTTTTCCTTGACAAGTTTACTTTCTCGTGTGTACAGTCAATCAAGGAATACCGAATGGTTTTCCGTGCAGAATTGCGTGATCCATGCACGAGGGATGTCGCGAGACTTTCGGAAAGCGTAAAAATACTCGAGCCGCAGGCGAGTGTATTTTTACGCTTTCCGAAAGTCGAGCAACATCCCAAGTGCATGGATCACGCTATCTTGCTTGGAAAACCATTTGGTAATTGTTTTATAAAATAACTACAGTGAAACAATGACATTTTGAGAATCCCGCGAAAATCCCGCGAAGGCATTTTAATTCCTCGTGCAGGATAGCCTGATCCTGCACCGCTATTAACCAATCAAAGTGCGTGTTTCACTGTAGTTATTATATAACAAGTTTTCCTTGACAAGTTTACTTTCTTGTGTGTACAGTCAACAAGTTTTCCTTGACAAGTTTTCCATGACAAATTTTGTAGCTCGTGTGCACGGAATGTTGTTAAACATTTATCTCACATCAAGGTCGCCTTTTGTTTGCCAAAACCATAAAAATATTTCTTGTACACTTGTCAAGTTTTCCTTGGCGGCCGTAAACACGAACAGATTTTCTTTGTTCAAAAGCTGGCGTGACTAGCTTTGGAACAAAACTCCTTGACCTTGGCAAGGAAAAATTATCGAACCGATTTCACCATCGTACCTGCATTTCTGCGTTTTCTTCTTGCACCGGCAGCGCATGAATAATCTAACGTGAAAATAAAGATTATTTTGTTACCAAAGGAAATGTTTGTTCGTTCACATACCAAGCTGTTTCGAACCTCAAGGGTTAATGATAGATATTTCTGCAGGGCCTCGATTTATACAATTATGTTAGATCTTGCAGAAATATCTATTATTTGCCAGCTTGTAAGTAATACTAACTTTACACAACGGATAATTTCTCTCGCCTCTGTATTTAACAATATGTTTCTTGCTAACTTGTTACAGCGATTAATTATAACGTGTACCACAGCTTTCACTGCAATAACTCACCTGGACGGGTATCAGTTTTTATATTATTGATGGTTGTCATCACAGCAAGACCACCTCGCTTGAAAAAGAATAAAATAATGAATATCTATGGTGTACCACAAGGGTGCATATTGGGTCCATGCATTTACCAAAAACTTACGTTTAGTACATCCTTATTATTCTGGCCTGCGCCTGAACCACATCCGAGGTCGTGAGATTTCATTCTCTTGTATACCTGAAACAAAAGAGTAGTGAGAATATATTGAATGGTTACTACAGGAGGAAACCTAAACTACACTAACTTTATTTACATTGGATATCAGTTCTAAACTGTTCTTCTTAGAGGTCAACTAAGGATCATCACTTGTTGATCCAGTGTTACTGCAGGAAGAAATATAAACTAAATTAACTTTATATATACTGGATATCCCTATCAGTTATATACTGTTCTTCCTAAAGGTCCAGTAAGGATCATCCCTTATTCATCCAGTGTTACTACAGGACGAAACCTAAACTAAATTGGATAGCTCTATAAGTCTTAAACTTTTCTCCTTAAAGACCCTCCAGTAAGGATAATCTCTTATTCATCTAATGTTACTACAGGAGGAAATCTAAACTAAACTAACTTCATTTATACTGGATAGCTCAATCAGTTCTAAACTCGTCTTCCTAGAGGTCCAGTAAGGTTCATCTCTTATTGATCCAGTGTTACTACAGGAGGGAATCTAAACTAAACTAACAATATTTATACTGGATGGCTCTATCATTTCTAAACTGTTCTCCTTCGAGGTTCAGTAAGGCTCGTTTCGTATTCATCCAGTGTTACCACAGGAGGAAACCTAAACTAAATTAAAAATGCACATTTACCTCATCACTGGTGAGATGTTTATCATTTCTCAGTAGGTACACACTCTGGTCAACAGCCAATATACCAACTTTTGAATGCGGACTGCTTTGTATCTCAATCTTGTGAGAATCTCCCGGTATTTTTTGAGGGTGCTGATCTCCAAGAAATGAGACCTGAAAATATAATAACAAAGTTGTACAAAATATATATTGTATACACAAAACAAACTCTATTTATACTGGATAGTCTAATCAGTTCTAAACTGTTCTTCCTAGCTAGAGGTCTAGTACAGACCATTCAGCGTAATAATATATATAGAGGGAAACTAAAATATATTAATTTTTAATACTTTATTGCTCTTTTCATCCACATTTAACCAAAATGTAATCACGTAAAAATCTCACAACTTGTCAACAAGATGTGTTCGCAACAGTCTTGTAATAAACTTGTCAACAAGTTGTAAGAATGCTGTAATTTTATCAAGTTGCTACAAGGTTGTCACTCGCAACTTGTTGACAAATTGTTGAATTGCAGGACGATAGCAAGTTGTTGGAACAGTTTGTAACAAGTCTGTTGAGCTCAACAACCTTGTAGCAAACTGACAACAAGTCGTCGACAACTTGTCAACAAGCTGGAAACAAGCAGTGCGAACACATCCTGTTGACAAGTTGTTGGAACAGCATTGCTACAAGTCTGCTGCAGGTTTGTTACAACTTGTGCGTTTTTACGTGTGTGCTACGCACCTGGTTGGGCAATTCTTCTTCAACTTCCAAGATGGCGCTGTCGACAACCAGTTCATTGTTCACACGATAATAAGCGACAAATCGTGCCTGGGGCGACATTGCGGAGGTCACAAGTATTCTGATGGTTGTCAAAACACCAAGATTTCTAGCGATTGTGCCTTGATTGATAATACGGCCGTTTGCGACAACCTAGGAAAACACATATCACATGAGGAAAAAAACATCATTTGAAATTACCCCTGAAAATCTGTCGCAGGGCTGTCAAAATTATTTTAAGTCAGTGTCTGTTGTAAAAAAGTGGACGGTTAAAAGAATAATTTTACAAACATTGACAGGTTTTGACAACATTTCCTGTGTGGTGAGTGTGCCCAGTTTGTGGCTTCATTAATAGTAACAATAATAACGATTTATTGGAAATACATCCCCAGAATAACTCTTCGCTTACCAAACTATACAAATACAATTAAATTATATACAAATTCTACAAACTATGTACGCGAATACTATTGCAATATAGCCGTTAACGTGTTCGACAGGACAAAGTTTTACATGTAAAATTACTATTGAGTATTGTATTACAAGTTAAAACAAACTATTTATAATTATATAACTATATACAAATAATATGGGCAATTTGATAGCTTAGCCAAATCTTGACAATGCATGGTTTCAAGACTAAGAAATTCTTGGCCTCTTTACAAAATACTCTGTAGTTTTCACAGTTGCTAATTTTTACAGGTAAATCAATAAAAAGACGCGCTGACTGGTCCTGTGATGATATGTGTTCTTAATTGTAGGAATTCTTAATTGGTAGTCAGCTAACTAAAGTTTGTTTACTGCAGTATATTATTAAGAATGGATGAAAGTCTTGTTGTGAAAAAAAAAAAACGTCAGGATTTTGATGAATGCAGGTTAGGAAAAAGCAAAGAAATTTCTATCAAAAATCACTTGTTTTTGGTTTTCAGATGGTAGTTATTGTCACAATTCGACACCCTTTGAATAATCAACTATGAACTCCTATGTTACATTCACAATGTTAAAATTATTTATTGCAATTGCTAAATTTGCATTTCAACGATTGAAAGAATTTTTCCGAAAACAACATCTTCATACACCAACTAGAACAATAATAAGACGAATAAAAATATTTTATCTCACCATATACGTCAATGAGCTTGGCTGTCCACTGGACAGAACAAACGCCTCGCCATCAACTGATTGTCCAACCTAGAAATGAGTTATAATGTAACATGTAAATATGCCCAGTAAAGGCCATCTCTTACTTATGGTGGAACACTGCACAACAGGAGGAAATCGTCCGTGAATTTGGTACAATTTATAGTAGATAGTTCTACCAATTCTGTCTAAAATCGTTCCTTACAGACGACCAATATAATGCAATGTCCTTGATTGGTCCATTGTTACTCAAAGAGGAAACTGAAGTGTATGAAGAATTTGGTTACAGTCAAATCTGAAGGAATCATCTCGCATGTGCACGAGAGGAAATCATAATTTGACAACTGTAAAGCAACCCCGACCGCAGAGAGTTTGACTATCTCGCACACGTTCGTTGAAGGATTTCCGGGCGAGAAAATTAAGATGACTAATTTGTTTGGAGGTACGTCATGTGGTCAAAACTTTGCTTACTCTGGGTTTAGTTAGGAATCGAACAAACAAATAGTTGTTTCCACTGGATTGATACATTTTTGGCTGGAATCGTCCTTGTGAAATGATGTCTTGTCCCCCTTTATTAATCTTAGCCTTCACCTAAATAACAAAAAGTGTATTTCGTTGTTTAAATAGTGTAAGTAAACGAAAGTGTTAACGAGAAAACATGGAACATAAACACAAAGAAAGGAGAGCGAGACAAACAAACAAACAAACAAACAAACAAACAAACAAACAAACAAACAAACAAACAAACAAACAAACAAACAAACAAACAAACAAACAAACAAACAAACAAACAAACAAACAAACAAAACAAACAAACAAACAAACAAACAAACAAACAAACAAACAAACAAACAAACAAACAAACAAACAAACAAAACAAACAAACAAACAAACAAACAAACAAACAAACAAACAAACAAACAAACAAACAAACAAACAAACAAATTATATTACATACAGTGTAACACAACCACTGTAAATAACAAATAAACACATCAGAAATATTTACTTTAATATCGAGGAATGATATGGTGAATGTCCTGGGGACATCAACCACGAATCTGCCATGACCAAGTTGGTTTGTTGTATCCCCGCTCGCTTTACCGCCAGCCACGCGTTCCAACACTGCTGTTCCGTCGTTAGTTTTCGCATCAATCTCAAGATCAATATTTTTGGCAGGCTTCCCACTCGGGTAGGATACATCGACCTGCAAAAAAAAATTGTATCACATAAAAAATGTCAGGATAATGACGAAGGACGCGACTCAAATATCACAGAATCGCTCCGTCACCCCTTTGTATTTTTTCAAGTATTCGGTAATCGCGGTAATATTCTACCTTAATTTCAAAAGGTACTCCGGGTTTAAAAAATCTTGGCGATCTTTTAAAGCTGATCTTCAGAGGAGTATTTGTAAAGTATACAGTATTATCCAAGGCCTTTTCTTCCTGGCCTGTCGCTTGTTCGATAACTTTCGCTTCAATAAATAATCGTTTCCCATCAGGAAACCAAACTATTTTGGGATGTTGCTTAAGTAGATCTGTCGATATGGTAACATCAGCTTCTCCATTACGTAGCTAGTAAAATAGAAAGAAGAAGGCTTGTTAGTACAGTGAGGTGTGAAATGGTTTGGTGTGATGTAATGGGATGGTATGATATGGTATGGTAAGTCCGCGCAATTTGATCAAGCCCGAGGCGAAGCCAAGGAGGGGCTTCGGTGGCCAAGTGGTTAGTGCACTTGCCTTTCACCTCTAAGGTCGCAGGTTCGAATCTCAGTGAGAACTTCTCAATGTGACTCGAACCCAGTCCTCATGTGAAAAGAGTAAAAGTCAACGCTCTGCCGAAAGTCGTGGGTTTTCTCCGGGCACTCCGTGTTTCCTCCCACAGGGAAAGTTGACAGGGTGGGTTAGGCACATAGGTCTGGAGGCAGATCATTAATGAGGTATGGACTAAAAGCGGCAGCTGCTCAAGCGCCATTTGTAAGCTCAAAGTCTACCTCGGTCTGCTTCACGTCAGTCCGGTTCTATCTATCTATTCATAATGTAACCAGTCACTGAAAAGCCCTGATATAGGGAGTGTGCTGTGAAATATCTGTATCTATCTGTATCAAAATTGTAGGACTTGAAATCTAGTCCAGTCCGAGGATTTGCAATGACATCTCGTACGAATAAATCTTACTTAAAGTGAGGTGAATTAATTTTGATCCAGTCCAAGGACGGAATTAATTTTGATAGAGTCCCAGGACTGGATCAATATACTTCACCAGGTACAGTATCCAGTATTACCATACATGTGAGCAAAATAAAGTAATATGGTTGGCTAATTTACTCCTGAATTATTAATGAGTTTGAGATGGTGTGTTATGGTATGATTGATATGGATGGTAAATATGATGTGTTATTGTGTAGGGTGGTATGGTATGGTACAGTATGGTATGGTATGGTATGGTATGGTATAGTATGGTATGGTATGGTACAGTATGGTATGGTATGGTATGGTATGGTATGGTACAGTATGGTATGGTATGGTATGGTATGGTATGGTATAGTATGGTATGGTACAGTATGGTATGGTATGGTATGGTATGGTATGGTATGGTATGGTATGGTATAGTATGGTATGGTACAGTATGGTATGGTATGGTACAGTATGGTATGATATAGTATGGTATGGTAATGGTATGGTATGGTATGGTATGGTATAGTATAGTATTGTAAGGTACAGTATGGTATGTTGTTGTAAGAATGATGTACTATTATTATTAATGGTAGGATATAGTGTAGTGTGGCCAGCAATGGTATGGTATGGCATTGATAATGGTATGATTTAGGAAAGCACTGGAAATTTTGTTAATGCTTACCGGGTGTACAGACATACTAAATCTTTCAGCTTTCCCAGCATCGTCAAGGACAGCAAGATCCATGCGAACTGTTCCAAGGACAGGTTTACCATAGGTGTACCTTGAATGAGATATTTTGGCAAGCATTATGAGTGATTTCAATAAATCATGAATGTGCTCCAAAAATAAATTTCGTCTTCGCCTTTTGCACAACATATATTAATGTTCTGTATAGCGGTGTTGTTAATTTCATATTTTAATGAAACATGATCCTGACGAAGTATGCAAGTTCCATGCAAAATTTTTTAAACATGTTACTGAAATTCCATACTTTGATATAACTTTTATTGTGAATGACGGATCATTTTCCAAAATGTACGGTGGCCGTTCAATCTTCACAGAAAATGTCGGCAAAACTGCAAGGAATGTGACAATACAATTACTGAAAATATTCAATAAACCGTTTCCGAAAATATCTTTATATCTAAGCAAAAATTATTTCATTTGTACTGCATGGCTCTATCAGTTCTAAACTGTTCTCCCTAGATGTCCTGTAAGGATCATCTCTTATTGATCCAGTGTTACTATAGGAAAAAATTTCAACTAAATTATTTATACTGGATAGTTCTATCAGTTCTAAACTGTTCTCCCTCGAGGTTCAGTAAGGATCATCCTAATTTCATCCAGTGTTACTACAGGAAGAAACGTGAACTAAACAGCTCTACAGTTCTAAACTGTTCCAGTAAGAGCCGTCGCTTTAATGTTCTAGTATATATGTACTGCAGTTTTACAACAGCGCGGAATCAGAAAAAAATTCGCACGGTTTTCAATTGCTTGAATTAAAAAGTACGCAAAATCACGCATGGACTTACCGTACTCTCGGACCTCAAATTGTATCGAAGCATTTTGTACCAGCTGTAGAAACAATAAAAAAACAGTGATTACAGAAAAGATAGCAGGATCATATAAACGTAGGTAAAAGCTGCAATGAGCACATTTTTGCTGCGATTTGAGGTGCGTTTTTTCTTCTTCTGATAAGTCTGAATGAGGGGATGAGTTTTGAATGTTCAGACGAGGAGGGTACATGTATTCGCCTAATCGCATCAGAAGACGAAAATCGCACTAGAAATCGCAGAAAAAATTGCAAGTGTAAATGGGCCTTAGGTGATATTGTTGCACTCACTCCATGGCCATATAAGGCACTAATAGTCCACATCCCAAGCATCACGTTGTCCGATAAATCCAAGCGACGCGAGAAGAAGCCTGGAAACAAACGCAAAACGTTGTATACTACATTGGTAGTAGCATGGTTTCGAGTACAATTAGTAGAAAAAATGCACCAATGAATTTTTCAAAGACGATCAAAATTGAAAAAGTCTGTAGAACGAGTCCAATTTGAAGTCATTGAAAAAATCACGAGCGAGCGCTTGTTTTTCCAAATTGGACGAGAAACCATATTGCTGATTATGTACTTATTAATTCGGAATGTACATGAAAACATTATGTAGAAAGGTATTATTAGAGTATTATTAAATACCAATATCACAATAGAAAAACGCAGACCTTCATTTGTGTTAAGATTTCCCCATCTTTCCACACGAATACCTTGGGGATTCTGAAATATAATATCAACAAAACAGTCACTATGTTAGAACGAGAAAAACTACAATCGCCGAAGAAAACGAAAAAAGACAACGGCATATATTTTCTGTTGCGTTCGTATATAGCAAAGTCCTCACCAGCACTTCTATTGTCACCTATAACGGAAAATAAAAAGAACTTGGTTATACAGGATGTCTCAAAAAAAGGAAGACCTTTAGAAATTTACCTTATTGTTATAATTTGAATGCTTGAGCACTAAGCTGAACCTACTGGTGCGTAAAACAGAAGAGGAAAATTTTCTGCAGTTATTTAAAAGTCAAAACTTTAATTTTGTTTCGTCCAACACATGAATTGTGTACTGAACTGGTGGTATGACTAATTATAGTAATTTGACAATTTTGATGCAGTCTATGCATGCTCCTTTATGTTATTAGAAGTTATCTTTCCCAGAAGCAGAAAATAGTCTTGTGTTTCACAAGGATATTTTAATTTCTAAAGGCCTCCTTTTAAATACATGCACCCTGACCCTGTCAATATTTTTACAGACTGTAGGTTCAGCATAGTGCTCGGGCATTCAAATTATGAATACTAGGATAACTCAAATTATTAGCACTGATGAAGATCCGGGCTTACGGATCGAAAGCTTTGCAGTAATAAATCTATACGTGGTGTTTCCACAAACAAAATATTATATCTTTTATCGCCATGCAAAGTGCAAACCTACAAAGAACTTAATTGGATAACTCCTATAAGGTCTACTTGTAAAAACATCACCTACACATGACAAATAAATACTTACATTATTCATCGAGGCTTTTAGATCGAGGCCAAGAGGAACGACACGCAGGTTGACTAAACAAAATAATTTTTAATTCAGTAATGATTTCAGACATTTAATGATTTTGGATGAGACTCCGTACATCATTGCTATTTATACCTGTTTGACCTGGGTTGTAGATGGGTTTGTCAGTTTGGATAAAGACCATGGAATTCTGATAGCTGACAAGAACCTTGATTTCATTGTTGAACTGAAATCCGGGCGTGCTTGAGCTTGCTTTAAGATAAACGTATTGTTTGTCCAGAGACTTCTGGTCATGTAGGTCTTTCGCGTTCACCTGAGGGAAGTATACAAAGAAAATAATATGTAATTCAATAAATACAACCAACACTTGCAAACTTTATTTATACTGGATAACTCTATAAGTTTTAAACTGTTCCCCCTAGAGGTCCAATGAGGATCATCTCTAATTACTGATCCAATGTTACTACAGGAGGAAACCTAAACAAAACTAAACTTTATTTATACTTGATAGCTTTCATTATCAGTTTTAAACTGTTTTCCCTAGAGGTCCAGTAAGGATCATCTCTTATTGATCCAGTGTTACTACAGGAGGAAACCTAAACTAAACTGCTCTCCCTAGAGGTCAAGTAAAGATCATCTCTTATTGATCCAGTACTACAGGAAGAAACCTAAACTAAACTAAATTTGCTTATACTTGATAGCTTTTATTATCAATTTTAAACTGTTTTCCCTAGAGGTCCAGTAAGGATCATCTCTTAATTATTGATCCAGACAAGTGTTACTACAGGAGGAAACCTAAACTAAACTAAATTTACTTATAGCCCTATCAGTTCTAAACTGCTCTCCCTAGAGGTTCAGTTAGGATCATCTCTTATTGATCCAGTGTTAATAAAGGAAACCTAAAATATCTTTATTTATACTGAACAGCTCTATCAGTTCTAAACTGTTCTCTCTACAGTCTCTAGTCCAGCAAGGCAACAAGGTAGGCCAAGTGCTATTACAGGGCGAAACGGATATACCGGAGAAAATCTAGGGGGTTTGGAAACTCTAAAACAAAATGGCCACTCCTGACTCCTTAACCAGTGCTTCCTTGCAAAGATCGGCAATACAATCAATTGGCTCTTCGACCCACCTTTATTTTCAAAAGTCCAGGTTGTTCTAATTAAAGAAAAATACAATATAAAAACAATTAGCAAATGGTCCAGAAACGAAACTAAAACCACAACAAGTATTAACAAATTTCAAGGGCAAAATACGTACGTTTTCTAAACGTTCCTCTAACTTGAGAGAATGTTCTCTTCCGGTTTGGAAAGTCTTGAAGCGAAAGTTGAATGTCGACGTCAACATTCACATCGAAGACAGAAATTGATACTGTTTCTTCGACGCCCACACGAAGCAGATTTGGAGCAGCTATAAAATATTTCGCCCTGCAAGAGATAATTTTTAAAGTCTAAGTCAGGTTTCGAATTTCTGTTGGCGTCTGACATTTTGTCTTTGTGTTTTTTCAATATTCTATTGTTAGTAAAACCCGTTTGCCATTTCAATGGTTTTCATTCAAACGGAGCGTAAAATTCAGGAAACTACACTGGAGGCAGCCCTGTGGCTGTACATATGAAGAAACCATCAGGAAAAACGTTTAACCAGTGGCAACGACCCGTCGACCCTCGTTCTGTCTGTTCCGAACCCGAGTCTCGGAAACGGTATTTCCTAAGAGTACGTTGCAGAAAATACAATTGTCTTATTACAACATTACATAACACACTTGTTAGTTGTTACAAATGAAAACGGTTTCTTCCTGCAGATAAAATGTTTCCCGACAGGAAATTAGAGTTCCCCAACACGGTTCAACCATTGGAAGCAACTTAAATGTTCTTGATAAGACTTGGTACAATCACCGTCCTCGTGATTTGCTGGTTATCGATTGATCGTTGCACTATTTCTATCTGAAGTTTATTTTATTTTTGCAAGGCAAAGAAAACAATGCGAAAAAACTACCGGAACAACGTTATCATGAATATCTAAAACGTACGATTTAACTTGATAGCAAAAATGTGTTTGCAAACGACCTGATATAACTATGTGTCTCCGGTCAAGATCCTGTGATCGGGACATTCCATTGTCTTCTCATTGTTTTGGAAATCCTACCGATCTCCAAGCCATCCAGTTAATCAGTTCTTATTCTAGAAAGAGCCTACCGGATATCATTTCTACTAGAAAATTCAAATCCAAAATT